TTTTTTTCACCAGAATTCCATATATATAGCTTGTTTCCTAAATGAAAACATACAGACACATGAATTTCTTAGTTATTTTTGAGTTGAAAATTTGTGTATATGAAAACTTATGAAATCTGTAGAAGGAAAATCACATTTAATTGTATGTTGAAGGAATCATCTTTATTGAAAAAATCCAAAACTATGCAGTGTGAAAACCATTCTTGGAAATCCTGAGCTAGGAGTAGTCATAAACCTACAGGGTGAAATTACAGCCTTTCAGAACTGAGAAAAATCTTAGTGACCCTGGACTCAGACTCCATCCCCTCTTTGAGGTTAAACGGTGTGCTAATTATTTGCACAATTAAAAGCAGTTTTAAAACTCCTGTCTTCAATTTCTCAGTTGTTTTCTAATCTTTTATTATGGTTAATTCACTTTTAACGCTTATAAAAAAAAAAAGCCTCTAACATAGCCACGCCACCTGCCCACCCCACCTTGGATCGCAGGATATCCTGAGATACACACTGTTACTTAGCTAATGATACAATTTATATCTTTCATTCTTAATTGTATGTTTTCAGTAGTAGTGCCAACAGGGTCTAATTAATAAAGTGAAGTTGGTAGGGTTCACCACAGAATGTTATCCCCTGGATGCTGCACTGGAGTGAGGGGTCTTCTTGTTTGGAGTTTCCATGGATAAGCAGTAACTCAAGATGGCAGCTAGGGGGGCCAGAAATTTGTAGAGGAGGAGGTGAGATTGCTAGCTGGTGCTGGAAAGACTGAGGTGCATGTAGATACACTGCTTCCACAGTCTGTTCTCTTCTCCTTTCCCTCCTCCCAAACACTACCTACTTTGCAACAACAAATTAAAACTTTATATTGGGGCTTCCCTGGTGGTGCAGTGGTTGAGAGTCCGCCTGCCGATGCAGGGGACACGGGTTCGTGCCCTGGTCCAGGAGGATCCCACATGCCGCGGAGCGGCTGGGCCCCTGAGCCATGGCCGCTGAGCCTGCGCGTCCGGAGCCTGTGCTCCGCAACGGGAGAGGCCACAACAGTGAGAGGCCCGCCTACCGCAAAAAAACAAACAAAAAAACCAAACTTTATATTGAACTTACCAGATTTACAGATGAAGAAATCAAAACTCAGACAAAGAGGTCAGTGTTTCAGAACTGTTAATACCTGCTGTCAGGTATTAGGGTTAGGGTTAGGGTTATATCTGAGATTCAAACCTCTGGCTTTTTATTTCTAAAGGTTCTATCACTACACCAATGCCGGGATCGGGGGATGCCAGGAGTTGCTCATTTTCCTCAATGAAGAGTGTTCACTGCAAGTATTTCTTTCTTTAACACAAAAATTAATGCTTAGGATTTTAAAAATTGACAGGTTTTATTCTTCCAGACTGCACACTCTTTTTGTTCAGATGAATAGGGAGGTAGACACACTGCCTCCAGAATTGCGGGCAGTTTTCATTATCATCCACTGCCCTCTCCTTTCAGTGCCTGGTGAATGGGTGTGAGTGCTTAGCTGGGAAGTCGAGGAGTAAAGTTAAGAATTTGGGTGGTAACCCTGACGCTATGAGCAGTCTTTCCTTCTCATGGTGTCATAAAATAAGGCTCTTCCCTAGATAAGATAACAGATTTGGAACGATTTCATGAAATCTTATGTCATGAAGTTCAAAATATATCATCATGTCTGGAAATCAATTGCTTTGTTGTCCCTGAATCTGCCTAACCACCTTGTGTTTTCATTAAGAAAGATGCTATTATCGCTGATCTTTTTCTCAGCGATGCTTCTAGATTTGGGGCATTTTCTGGGCTACTGACATACTTGATGCTCTAATTTTAAAATTCATAGTATTGGTTTAATGCTTTAATAGAGGAAGAAAGCAGTGTTTCAGAAAGCAGGTATTTAACTTTAAAAGATAAGATGTAAAGTGCAGACGACACCTGATGTTCTTTTACCCCCCTACACCCCACCCCCACCCCCCCACCACCCCCGCATTTCTACCCTTACTGCAGCTTGAAGTTCGTGGTACTTCATTCAAGTTGTGTTTTCTGTGTTCTGCAAAGTCAGGTTCCCTATTCCTAAAACAAAGAAAGAAAAATCTCCTGGGGATGAAAGAAAGCTCTTCCTCTTTAAATGCAGACAGAAAATCTGGGGTTTTTTTTCCCCTTTGAATTTCCCTGTGCAATTACCGCATTTGTCTGCAGGAGAAAGGACCGGTTGTGGTTTGTTCTCGATTACCTTTCTTAAAGACACGTCCGCAGAGCCACGCAGCGCACGTGGCACTCACCTCAGGGCGAGAGAGCTCCCAGTTTTGCGAGAATTAGGCGAGCGGAGGGCCACCTCTTTCCCCGAGAGCCAGTCCCAGAGCAGTTGCGTGGGTCTGGAGCCCGGGGAGGCGGAGCCTTTTTGCTCCCGGCGGCGAGTGCCCCCTCCTCTGCCTGCCTCCCTGCCTGCCTGCCTGCCGGCTGGCCGGGTATCCTGTGCAGCCACTCGTCGTGCTCCTGTGCTGCTCCGCGGACCGTGGGATAAACCGCAGTCGCTCTTTGGGGAGCCCTGGGAGAACACCAGGAAGGAGAGAGAGCGCGCTAGTGCCATGGGCCAGCTCTGCTGCTTTCCTTTCTCAAGAGATGAGGAAAAAATCAGTAAGTGTGATTTGTTCTGTGCCACATCCTAAGTGGCTGGCTATTTTATGTGGCTGTCTTCTAGGGATAGTTTTGGTTTTTTCTTATGGGAAACATAGCAGACTAATGAGCTGTGATTTTTCTTGTGCATTTACTGAAAGGATTGGTAGATGTGTAGTTAATAATTAACTGTCGAAGTACAGCAACTCAATGAATAGAGCTATGTTAAAGATACAGAATACCGAAGTCATTTTTCATTTTCTTCTGTTGGTATTTTACAGCTCGTTTTTATCACACTATCTAGAGTCAGAATTTAGTTTTGAGTTTCTTTATATCACTGCATACAATTTGATAAATTGTACATGCCAGACTTCATTTTTCTTATCTGAAATTGGGATGTTTTCAGAGCAATGCTCAATAATAACATATAGAGAAGTAAAGCTGGCTCGAAAATGACATATATATACATTTGCAGATATTTTCATGTGTCCTCTGCTTTGTTCTCCATGGAGGGAATTCGGGTGTAACTGTAAGATCCCTCCAAACAAGTGATGCCACTTTAATTTCTGCAAAAACTTCACTGAATATTTTTAAACTAATGTCAGGCAGGTTCCACATCTGCTTATGGCTGAAAACAGAACTTAAATTGATGACATTGCACTGAAATTTCTTACTCACTGGCTTATGTGTGTGCACTTACATTTCAACTTTGTTAAAAACAGTACTGGCATTGCAGTTAGTTTGCTGAATAGAATTTGCCTTAAGGGCAGTTGCCCCCAAATGTTGAATTTTTACTTCTTTTTCAGTAAAATGTTTACAGACATACTAATGAAAATTTGCAGCCACATTTATGTCACATCAGTGCTTTATTTAAATAAATTTAAATAGGTCAACAGAATCTCTTGATATCTGATTCAGATACTCAAAGATACACATCTGGCTTGTATTTCCTGCTGCTCATTCCTCAGGAAACTAGCCAGGGACAGGTTTAAAAATAATTAATACATATCTTATACATATTCACTTGGGAAAATAAGCCAGGTTTTTTTTTACAAGAAATCTTCTGAGAATGCTGTGGGATAAATGTTGGGAGGCTTTGGAGCGTTTGCTTATTAACAAGAGCCCATAGCTGTGCTCTAAATTTTACTTGTGAAAATGATACTGTACAGTAGGCGATGGTCCTGCGCTTAAAACCTGAGGTGATTTCACAACAGAATTGTTCATTTTCTAACAATGAGCATTGGTATTCATTTGGCAGCGTGAAACTTTTCAGATATTTGTCAGAATGATCCATTTGTAGTTTCTGAGGGTTTTGGTTGATTGATTCCTTGAGGAAGATCTCGATCTGAAAAACCTTGGTCTGGACAGATGTAGGGAGAGTGGATTCTTTCCTTACCTTTTTCCACTTCCTATTCCACTGCTCCAGGTTTTCTTGGAGTTCCTGCTTTCCTTGTGTTCTCTTTCTCTTTGTCCCCTGTCTGTAACTGAAGAAATCAAGTTTCACCTCAATGAGGAATTTGCTCTTTTCTGTCTTTCTCATCTGGGATCCTTGGAGTGCAAAGTCTTCTGTTTTACATACAGCCCTTCTCAGTATTGATCGACAGGAAGTGCTCTTGGGGGTTTACCTTCTCAAGTTACAAAATTTTAAAAAGAAAATGAAGATAAGACACTGTGTCTGAAGCAAAGTTCAAATCTGAAAGTGCAAATTATGGTTAGAATCAATGCATTTGTGCCCCGTTTCCTCTTCTTCACCGCTACTGGCCCCACATCTTTCCCGTTCTCTCCTCATTATTCTTTCATCTGTCTTTGATTTTGTCGTTACTTCACTGTTTTTCTCCTAATCTGCTCCACGCTCTGTTCACATACCACATCAGCTGTTTTCTGGTGCTGTGTTTAATTTCTCTGCTACAGGATGGTCTAAAGAGAAGGTTCTCCGCCAGGCACTGCTGTGCTGCTGGTAATACATGTCTACCAGTACTTACAAAGGGAACTTGGAAAAAAAGGCAGAGAATTCCTTAGCCAGCATGCTTCAAGAAACATGTAAATTAGCACTGACTGTAAATATCCAGTTCATAAGCTGTGTTGATTGCATGTAAAAGAACCCATAGTAGACATTTGGGAGGGCCCGATCTTGCTAGTGGATTGTACAGTAACCTTCTGGGTCTTATGCATCTTCGTGACCCCACCTCGTAGCCTTGTTAGCCTGCTCTGGGCCACATGCTCAGTGAGGACCTCCTAGCCGCAGAGCACAAAAGTGCTTATGCCCACACCCTTCTGATTCTGCTGTAAAGGGTGATGGCCGTAGAATGTATCTTCTGAGAGCAGCTCAAGTGGAGAATTAAACAAGTTTTTGGTGAAAGTTGAAATTTATGGTTGTCATTCTCAAAACACAGGTGAGTTGGGAAGCCCATCCTCTGTAGCCCTGCAGAGATACAGAAAGGAGGTACCCAGCTGGCCAAGTGGTAAGAGTCAAGTGGTCCCTCTCCCCTCCTGCTGTTGTTTTATCCTGCTTTTGTCCTTGGTGGTGGTGGTAGATAGAAAGTATTCTCGTTTCACTGATTTATTAGTGCTACCATTTTAATCTATTAAGAGCAAACAAAGTGATTTTTAAAAAATCAACTAGTTGTGTAAGGGCTATGTTTGTGTGGGAAGTTAACTGTATGCACAGCCAGAAATCTTGGTAATGGGGTGAATAGTCAAATACAGTAGAACTCGTCATGGTTTATTTCTCAGTTAATGCAGCACAAAGCAGCTAGACCCTTTTTGTTTAAATCCCAGCAGTTGAACATTTTCTCAAACTGTATACTTTTTGGCCACAAAAGGTAGAATAGACTGACAATAAATGCATATTTCTTGGTAGATTAAGTACTTTCTATTGCTACACAGGACCATATTTAACCTGAAACATTCCCGTAGATATTGTAGGATTAACAAATGTTGTAGATAGTCTCCAATATAGTTTTTGCTGAATTCTTCTATAGCGCTCGTGTCCTTTGAATTACCGCATGTCTCATAGTGAACTTCCAGAAGGGAATGTTCATGAGTAAGAATGTTGTTGCACAGGCTTACTGGCCCCTGCAGTTTATCAGACTCACTAAATAAACCTGAAAAGGAAACTTAATCACTAAAGAGATAGCCCTATAACTAATTTAGAAGACATTTTACTTGCTCCTTTCCTAGTGCAAATTTTCTTTTCTTTTTTTTTTTTTTTGTGGTATGTGGGCCTCTCACTGTTATGGCCTCTCCCGTTGCGGAGCACAGGCTCCGGACGCGCAGGCTCAGCGGCCATGGCTCACGGGCCCAGCCGCTCCGCGGCATGTGGGATCTTCCCGGACCGGGGCACGAACCCGTGTCCCCTGCATCGGCAGGTGGACCCCCAACCACTGCGCCGCCAGGGAAGCCCCAGATTTTCCCATTTTGAAGTACATTTGTTTTATGTAGAATGAAACAGGTGAATGTCCAGAGATGAACCAAGCCTCCTCCCATGGTAGTTTGTCAAAGGGATGTGTCATAGGGGAGAATGGGACAGCTAATGAATGGATGCACTGACAACTCAGTTACTTTCTAGCCCTGATCTTCTGTGATGCTGAAAATGAAAGAGTATTAGTATGTATTTTAACAAGAAACATATCTTAATTTTATAAGTATGTGTTTAAACAATACACAGACATTTTACTTTTATATATGAAATATGTTTCAATATAGTCTTTTTATTTTTTATTTAAAAAAATTTTTATTGGAGTATAGTTGATTTAAAATGTTGTGTTAGTTTCAGATGTACAGCAGAGTGAATCAGTTATGCATATACATATACCCACTCTTTTTTCTTTTTTTTGACTTTTTTCCATATAAGCCATTACAGAGTATTAAGTAGAGTTCCCTGTGCTATTCAGCAGATTCTTATTCATTATCTATTTTATATATAGTGGTGCGTATATGACAATCTCAATCTCCCGATTTATCCCCCCTACCCCTCCTGTAACCATAAGTTTGTTTTCTACATCCATGACTCTACTTCTGTTTTGTAAATAAGTTCAGTTGTATCCTTTTTTTTAAAGATTCCACATAGAAGTGATATCATATGATATTTGTCAGTCTGACTTATTTCACTCAGTATGACAATCTCTAGGTCCATCTATGTAGCTGCAAATGGCATTATGTCGTTCTTTTTTATGGCTGAGTAATATTCCATTGTATATATGTACCACATCTTCTTTATCCATTCCTCTGTTGATGGACATTTAGGTTGCTTCCATGTCTTAGCTATTGTAAGTAGTGCTGCAGTGAACATTGGGGTGCATGTATCTTTTTGAATTATGGTTTTCTCTGGGTATATGCCCAGTAGTGGGATTACTGGGTCATATGGTAGTTCTACTTTTAGTTTTTTAAGGAACCTCCATACTGTTCTCCATAGTAGCTGTACCAATTTACTTTCCCACCAACAGTGCAAGAGGGTTCCCTTTTCTCCACACCCTCTCCAGCATTTGTTGTTTGTAGATTTTCTGATGATGCCCATTCTAACTGGTGTGAGGTGATACCTCATTGTAGTTTTGATTTGAATTTCTCTAATAATTAGTGATGTTGAGCATCTTTTCATGTGCTTCTTGGCCATCTGTATGTCTTCTTTGGAGAAATGTCTGTTTAGATTTTGCACCCATTTTTGATTGGGTTATTTGTGTTTTTGATACTGAGCTGCATGAGCTCTTTGTATATTTTGAAGATTAATCCCTTATTGGTTGCTTCATTTGCAAATATTTTCTCCCATTCTGAAGGTTGTCTTTTTGTTTTGTTTATGGTTTTCTTTGCTGTGCAAAACTTTTAAGTTTATTTAGACCCTATTTGTTTATTTTTGTTTTTATTTTCATTACTCTAGGAGGTTCAGTATAGTCTTTTTGTGTGGGATGAGTTAAATGGACCGTTTGTAGTATTTTATAAATATGAGTCAAATCTCAAGGTGGTTTGTTTCTGATGATTTGGAATTTGATGATATAACATTAATATATAAATTGAGGTAAGCAGTTTGTTAACTTCATGCCTGATGAATGCTTTCATTTTTTGAACTGGTGGTTATTGTTCAGTTATACTCAGAGAAGCATTTAGATTTTCCAGTTTTCCAGAAGGCTTCCTATAAATCCTACAGCCATATACTGTGCTCTTCTCACTTGCACTTAGATACACTGACTTTAGTGTTATGTTTCATACATGTGCTCTGTTTCATCTCATAGATTTCAAGCAGGACCCAGGTCGTATACCTCTCTTCATAGCATCAGATCCCAGCAGGTTCTCCCTTAGACACTGCAGCATGGGCCCCAGGAAACGTGTGATAGGGAACCCCACATCAGTGGACAACAACATTCATTTTCCTTCCTTAGAAATGTGTTTCTGCAGGGGATACAGCGTGACTCCAGTCTCTTGCTGCCTGTTGAATACAGATGGCCCACCCCTTGGCATGCAGCTTTTACTATAGAAAGAGTACAGGACTAGGAGAAAGGAGACTTGGGTGATAAACCCAGCTCTGCTCCTAACATCCGGTCTGACACTGGGCAAGTTGCTAATATCTCTGGGCCTCAATTCCTCATATTTAAGAAGTGGGGGTTGAACTACCATGATCTTGAAAGTTTCTTCATTGTCCCTTAGAGCTAAGAGTCTAGGAAATAAATATTATAGATGCAGTTCTTCTTCTTCCTGGTCTTTCTCTCCACCTCATCCTCATTCTCTTCTTTTTAATTTATTGAATGCTTACTGTGTGCTAGGTACTCTGCCAGGGCCATTTGGAAAACTGCTTATAAAGTGAAACTGTTAGAAAAAAATGCTTCCCATCTGTCCCATTTAAGAGGGGAAGTGGCTGAAAACTAGTAGTTTGAGGGACTTCTCAGTTACGGTCCTCCAGGGGTGCTGTGGGGCCAAGAGCTGGTAGGAGGCTGGGACGCCAGGCAGCCCATTATCTGCTACCTCGTTTCTGAAGCAGTGAAGCACAGCAAAGCCAGTGGTGCTCCGTGTAACCTGAGACGACATTGTGCCTAAGGTTTCTGTGGGTAACATTGTGGTAGCAACAGTAATGTGCAATATCAAACATTTAACCCTAGTCACTAAAAATTAGATTTTTCCTTCATTAAGTAATGTATACCCAAGAGGTTTATGTTTCCAAAATTAAGTATTGGAACATTAGAGCAAATGCTAATAGTTACTATGCCTGGTTCCCTTTGTTAATTCATAGGCTATATGGTAACTGAATTTTTTGTTGCTGATTCTATGATCAAATGCTGAGTAATTTTCATTGGGAGTGCAAAGGTTGTAGAATTTTTCCCAGCCCCTAGTGCAGTCCTTGGCTGTTGTGAGCTCTGCCTAGATGCCCTGTCAAACAATGTGATGCTACCTGTCCCTGTATCTTCTTTCTTGGGGGCCATGTGAAAAAAGGAGTGGGGAATCTGATGTACATAAAGGTCTCGGTAAACAGAAGAAAGCCTCGAATGTTACCCCTTCCTGAGACATATGCATTTAACAAGACTGAATTATTCCAAGTGACCTTGGGAAGTATTTGTAGTAAAATAATAAATTAAGCTTCCGTATTGACTTAGCCCAAAGTAACCTCTAATGAAGGAATTTCAGGCAACTAGTAGACTCTTTCAGGGCATCTGATAAGTCACTTCCTATAGGTAGTTGCCTTCTGTTTAACTAAGTTGACCCTGCCTAATATGTAGATCTTTGAGCTTTCATCCACCAACTTCTGATGCCCACAGTAAAGAAACTCAAAAGAGCCCCTGAACTCTCAGTGCTGAAAGCAGAGGATTTTGGAGGCAAATGGACTCGGTTTGCATCCTTGACTCTAGTATTTATTATTCTAAGTAACTTCTCAAAGCCTCTGTACCCTCATTTTAAATGTCTAGTTATCATAAGCAAATGTCTGTAAAATGCCTGACACAGTGACTGGCTAATAATAGACCCAGTAAATATAATTTCCCTGTAGTGAATGAGAATGTACTGTACAACCAAAGTCACCTTAGAAGGCAACCTGGAAAACTATGGTTTTATTTCCATCATGCCCAGGAGGGGAAAAAAGGGACTTAGAATTTCAGACCTTGAATTGTTTAGCAGCCTTACAACATTTATCTTTGTAGCTTCCCTCCTCTTCTCCTTGGGGTTCTGTCCATCATGATGCCATGCTTCCCTGCCCTGGGAGAGACATGTGGTCCATGTGGAGTTAACCATAGCCTTCCCTAAGATTTGATGGAGGATCTGTCTTCCTTTCGGGTTGTGAGTGGAAAGGATGTAAGCGTAAGATTGCTAGCTGGTAGGGAGTGAGGGGGAGTCTTCCTGAGAATGAAGCACAGAAGGAGGCCAGAGGAGAGAGAAAGAGATAGTCCTGTTGATATTGTTTGAGCCTCTGAGTTCAGCTTTGACTGAGACCTTATATTATGAAGCAATAAATCCTCCTCCTTTTCTTTGTTTAACTTGCTTGGGT